TATATATATATGTATATATATATATATATATATATATATACTGATACGGAAATCTGTCTTTAGCATCATAATTAGACAGAGCACGTCTTCCACTTTATACCACACTCAAAAATAAGCGTGTCTGTATCATAATAGAGAAGTAGTAAATCTCAATTCAGAAGCTGCGTTCGTTCATCTATCTTTGGACTTCAAATGAGAAAAGGAAAGAAAGAAAAAAAATCTCGAAAACCATTTAAGCTTAAATATCATTTTCCCCCTCATTCACTTAAAAAAAGAGCACATCAGCAAGATACAATCCAAAACAATTGGCGAGCTCCTTCATTTTCTTAAGCTTTATCTTCTTTTTTTCTTCTCAACCCCCCCTCTTCACGTGTTTTATAACTATTATTTATTCCTCTTTTTGTTCACTCTCTCTCGCACTCTAAACTTAAAAAACTTTTTTTTTTACCTCTCAAATCAAGTGCGAAGTTCCGGTAGCAAATTCTTTTCGCAACTCATACAATACTTCGAATGAGCAAACGGCCCTCGTCAAGAAAAAACAAAGAAAAAGAGGCAAATCGGGCTAGAGTCGTGCGCCCAGACTACCGGATCGTGGCGATCGTGGGGTCCGAGTGATTGAAGTACCCGGATCCGTCGTGACGTCAAGCTCGTGCCTGACCTTTAGGAATTCAGAGAATGACTTGCTTTTGTTCTACGCACGATGCCGGTATCGAACTTTTTGTTTTTTTAAAATAGCTGGGGATTACTCTTTGCATGCCCACCCCCTTCTAAAAGCATGATAAAGAGGCACGCGGTCTCGTGCGTAATATGGTGGTCCTCCCCGGGCCCTGATTGCAAGACCCCGCCGAACATACTTGGAATATCTGCTTTCGAAAAACTTAGAAGTTCCTTGATCATGATCTAGAATGTTTCTTCGAAGTCCCTTTTTTTGAATCCCATATCTTAACTTCAATCACGACTACATTGATTTCTTGTTACGTTCTTAAGACAGAACAGCATGAGGGTGACAGAGGAAGAAAGAAGATTTTTTATATTTTCTGAATAAAAATAAATTAAATTGAAAAAGAAACAATGAATAAACTTGACTATGCGAACTAAAAATCAAAAATTAAAAAAATCTTACTTCACTAATTCATCTTAAATTTCATTTCTTAACATTGAAAAGAAGAAAAAAAGGTTTTAAAAAAGTTTGCCTCATCAATTGCAAGACACTTTCATTTATTAACAGCGCAAGAAGAAAAAAAATTTCTTTAAAGTTTGCATCATTAATAAAATGGCATTTCTGTTATTGACATTGCAGAAAGCTAAATCGAAAAAAAGTTTGCCTCATCAACCAAATGGCACTTCTTTTATTGACATTACAGGAAGCTACTTTTTTTTTTTGAAGTTTGCATCATCAATCAAATGGCTCTTCATCAATTGGCAATGCGAAAAATTAAATCAAAACAGTCTGCATCATCAACCAAACAGCACTTCATTCATCAACATTGTAAAAAAGCTTTTTTCAAAAAAAGCTTTATTTCCAATCAAACAGTTGTGTAGCCATTGATACTCCCCCCACCCCTCCAATGTTGAGGAAGGAAAAAAAAATTTTAGTAATTTTATCTGGGAAATAAAATTGGATTAAAGGTTCTACATTTTGCTCTTGAAAAAAATGGGAACTAAAAAATATTGGATTATTTTTTACTAATTGTTTATGTGAAAATTTTTAAACTCTACTTAACTGAATTAATGTAAAAATAATTTTTCTTTTTAATATTTCACTTATTAAATAGCTAATCAGATAACAGTTTATATACAAACTGTCGTAATCACTGTTTCGAACAATACTATTACCAAAGGCTTAAAAAAATTAATTATCAATATAGTGATCAGCAATTTATAGTGGACTCAATTGCTGGGTTTACAACACTCCACTATGGTTCGACTGCAGTTTCATACTTTATCGCTTGATTTTGGGCATTCTATACAATGTCTAGGCGTCCTATACAATGTCTAGGCGTCCTATACAATGTCTAGGCATCCTATAGAATACCATATTTCATGCATTGGCGATAACATAATTAAGGAGAAAAGAATACGCATTATAACGACTGACATTTTGAATCTAGTAAACTAGAACACAGAAGACAAGTCTTACCTGTGATCTCTGAGGTGGTCTTGCCTCCTGAAGGCCTTCTGACAGATGTCACACGTGTAGGGTCTCTCGTCCGTGTGGGTCCTCTCGTGGATCAACAGGTTGTAGGATTTGGTGAATCTTCTTTGGCAGAATTTGCAGATGAATTCTTTCTTTGGTCTGCTGGACACTCTGGACCTGAAGAACCTTCTCTCCAATAGACTAGCACTTCTGGAAGCTGGATGATTCGATTGCTGATCCTCCAGGGGGTGACTGAAGAGGTGGAAGAAGGAAGGATGCTGTGGTGCTTTTTGGTGTGGAATTTGGTGATGGGATGGTGGATAGTGAACGGGTAGAACCAATTGTCGGTGAATCATGCCGCCTTCCAACGGCAGGACAAGGGGTGGCGGCTCGTTGTCGCTTTCATCATCACTAGCTTGATTGGCGGATTCAGCCAGTCTCGTGAAATCGAACTTTTTCCTGGGTCTTCTCCTCTGGGCCAGGATATTTTTAGGATAGGCGGTGAAGGCAGATCCCAGATGAGGTTGAATAGGAACTATGGGTGCTGGTTTGAGAGGTTGCAGGATGGGAGGTGAAATGGAATAATCATCTCTGGAGGAGGAGGATGAGGATGGAGGTGAAGGGGATCTGCCGTATTGGCTGCTGGATGGACTGGTGGGAGTGAGAGGAGGGGTTGGTAGAAATCCCTGATGAGAATGCATTTCTTGTGGATCATCTACAAAAGAAAAATACAAAATTTTATTTCACAAATTATAGCTAACACATATGCAAACACAAGTAGGTGCATGACAATTTTGAAACTGAAATTAAAGTCATTTTTAAAATTTTATTTTATTGTTGCAATTTAATTTTCGTAAATTAAATCTATTTAATAGATATTAAGAATAGCTTTGTACAAAAAAAAAAATACAAAAAAAAAATTAAGAGCGGGAGAAAGAAGTGGAAGATAGAATAATCGCTCGTGCTATTCATAAGTAAAATAAAGGATCGTGAAAATCAATAAAACATTTCAAGTGTAATGTTCTAAATTGCAGCATCACATACAATATATAATAAGTATTATCAATGATTGCCGATAAGCAATAAGGAAGCTCATAATCAATAATTAGTGAACTCCGGAATCAGAAATATGAAAAAACAACCGCTTTCGATACTAGCGTCGAAAGTTCGAATTCCAACAATGACTTGCTGATTTCTATATGATGCAGTTCACGAACTGCACTAATTGCCTAGCTAACCCAAAATATCTTCTGTTACATGCCATGAGCCCCTTTGCCGTTTAGACTGTCGTGGAAGGCTTTCCTCTTCATGCGACACATTAGTTAATGCTGGTTTGTTTCCCAAAAGTCGTCTACGTTTTCTTAGATATTTCAATCAGTCCCTTTGTCTGAGTCGTGTTCAAAACTAAGGATTACGGTGACGAACATTAAAACCTCACATCCACGTTCGATAGGTTGATCATCAGCGGTGATAAAATTAAGGTACACAATCAATTTCAAATTATACGTCTTTTTTTATTAACTTAAATGTTTATTTAATTTCTTTTATATATTATTCACTTAATCTTATAAGTAAAAAGAAATATTTGTGTGAGAAATAGTTGAAGCTAAATAGAAATATGAAAGATATAAATGTGTCCGACAGAAATAACGTCGAAAGTAAAAATTAAAAAAAATAATAATTCATTCACCATTAAAAAAAAAATTTTTTTTAAGAAATAAAAATAAATCAAGTTTTACAAAATTGAAACAGATTATACCAATAAACTCTAGAATCATGCTTTAAATAGAAAATTTTATTTTTGCAACTTTACTTTTATTTGCTCAGCAGAATTAATTATTCATTTTTGGTGTCGGACATAAAAATTATAAAATGTGCAGTAATTTATATATTTTTGCATCATGACCTCTCTTTATATTAGTTTACTTTTTATGGTTATTTACTTCATTTCTATAATGTTTCCTTTCATTCTCAAACGAATCAGAAAAATCAATTTATTAAGAGATAATATTTCGAACTTTCTATCGTTAAAATGACACCTTATTTGCTTTAAGAATATTTATTTTGAATTTTTCATTATCTGATCGACCTAACTGTCGACCTAACGGAATTGTCCTATATCTTTACCCTGTACCATAATAAGGTGTAAATTCGATGCGATCTTAAAAAGGGGTTAAAGGGGGAAAAGAAGCAAATGAAGGAAAATAACAAACTCCTTTTCTGAAAAAATTTTTAAACTTGTTTTTTAATGTAAAAAAGAAAGTAAAAAAATGAAATTGATATAACACCGCAATTAATAATGAATAAAGAATTTCATTTTCTGTTTCAAGATTGCGGGCTTAAAGATATAGGAATCCATTTCATTTTTGTAGCATTCTATAAAATTTAACTTTAAATGTAAGCGACACAAAGTTTTTGTGTGTAATTTTTAAAGATCTTATATTTCCAAAAGAAAGAATTTATGCAATATTCCAAATTTATACAATAATAATCTCTGACAGTTGAGGTCAGTGAAAAATTTGGAATTACGGAGATAGTGCCGTAGATTAGGGCTCTTTAAAATCAGCTACAGAGTCTAACACCAGAAAAATTAATGACGAAAAGCGAAAGAATGTTATTTGTAAGTTAGCTACGAATGAATATTGTCGGACCTCTATTTAACGAAATCGAAAAATCCCGATAATAAGTTCGTTGTATGGAAAATTCGTTAAATAGAAAATCAACTTTTGAAGTACTTAAACAACACAAAACGGATTTTAAATTCATAAACCCTAGACGTAATTAAAATAGCAATAGATACACCATTATCTTGTGTTCTAGTATCGATTATTTATTTTACAAATCTTAACCATAAAAGAAAGCTGCATGGAAAGCAAGAATAGAACAAAACATTACCCAGCGCTACACTATCATGCTCCACAAATTTTCAACTAAAAAAAAGCTAAATTTATGTATAAAGATATAGCTGCATTTATTATAAAAGTAATTTTAAACATACAATACCGCATGGTTTCTTAAGTTTAATTAATACTGATAAAATCCGTTAATTTTGTCTGAGTTAGAAATGCGAGCAAAAAGGAAAAGGGATTTTACTGCTTTCTCTGAAATTTAAGTGACTTCGAAAATCAATTTCTCCCATAAAATGCGTTAACAAGTTTGAAATGCTCCGAAATCTCTCTATTCTAAAAAAAAGTTTTTGCAGTTAATTTTGTCCCCTGAAAAACTTTTTAACTACGTGATGAAAATCTAAGATTAAGGAATCAATTCATTCAGAATCTTTCAGGGAAGACATTTAGGGCATTCAAATCTTTTACATAATTTTAAATTTTTATTTATTTTAGTTTTAAAGCACGATTTTGCAGTTAATAATGAAGAATAACCGCCGTTCACAACAGCCAATCACATGTCTGAAAACGGCAAGCTTAAAAAAGCGATTTACAAGTCTGAATTTTCTTTTTCAGAGATGCAACCAATCACAAAATAGTTAGAATTTCATTCTTCAGTTTTACAACATCTCAACTTATTTCGTATTGATATATTGATTAATCTGATTATTTGTTTTCTAAAACGTTAATTCGTAAGTTTAATCTGGTTTTAAATCTTAATTCGATTTGTTTATTTACAAGTAATGCCTAAAAAGANCCCCTTTGCCGTTGGTGGAAGGCTTATGTGACATATTAATGCCTGTTTGTTTCCCAAAAATCATCTGCAAGTTTTCTTAGATATCCCCTTTGCCGTTGGTGGAAGGCTTATGTGACATATTAATGCTTGTTTGTTTCCCAAAAATCCTCTACAAGTTTTCTTAGATATTTCAATCAGTTCATTTGTCTTTTGAGTCGTGTTCAAAATTAAAGATTACGGTGTCTAACATTATAACATCATATCCACATTTCATAGGCTGACCATCAGCGATGATAAAATAACATACAATATTATAGTACATAACAAATATATATTTAGGCCTCAATACAAAAACATCAGAAATCAAACGACTAAGAAATTAAAACTTTTAAATCACTTACAAAATTTTTAAAAAAATAAGGAATAAATCTTTTCGATAGTAACTGTTATTCATTGCACTAACCAAGTCTTAAATTGCGGTAATAGGGTTTAATTTATTACCATGTTGGGAGAAAATTTGCTCGATATTTGGGTACCACTCGCTTTGAATTTTTGCAGTGCAGTAAAATTGAATTCTTCGTAAAAGCGAAATTGATATAGCACCATTTTTGTAGCATTGTATTAAAATTCAATTTAAACTGCACAAAGTTTTTATGCGTAATTTTTAAAGATCTTATATTTCCAAAAGAAATAATTTATATAATATTCCAAGTTTGTGCAATAATGATCTCTGTCAGTTGAGGCCAGAGACAAATTTGGAATTACGGAGATAGTGTTGTAAATTGGAGCTCTGTAAAATCATCTGCCGAGTCTAACATCAGAAAAATTAATGGCGAAAAGCGAAAGAATGTTATTTGTTAGTTCGCTACGAAAGAATATTATATTACAGTCGGGCCTCTATTTAACGAAGTCGCTAAATCCCGATAATAAGTTCGTTGTATGGAAAATTCGTTAAATAGAAAATCAACTTTTGAAGTACTTAAACAGCACAAAACGGATTTTAAATTCATAAACCCTAGGCGTAATTAAAATAGCAATAGATACTATTATCTTGTGTTCTAGTATCTATTATTTATTTTACAAATCTTAACCATAAAAGAAATCTGCATGGAAAGCAAGAATAGATCAAAACATTACCCAGCGCTACACTATCATGCTCCATAAATTTTCAACTAAAAAAAAAGCTAAATTTATGTATAAAGATATGACTGCATTTATTATAAAAGTAATTTTAAACATATAATACCACATGGTTTCTTAAGTTTAATTAATACTGATAAATCCGTTAATTTTGCCTGAGTTTTTCGTTTAAAATGCAAAAAAAAAAAAAAGTTAAGAGATTTTACTGCTTTCTCTAAAAGTTCAGTGGCTTCGAATTATCAATATCTCCCATAAAATGCGTTAACATGTTCAGACATGTTAACGCATTTTATGGGAGATTTTCCTTACCATATTTAATTCATCAAAAGATTAAGTTCCTGAGAGACGAATATTAGTTGATGAACTATTTATGACAATATTATTATAAAATTGTATTTACAGTTAAAAATAAGAAAAGTATTCAAAGTACCGTTCGGTTAATTTCGAATTAAATTTTGCATCTTTGAAAAGTATATACAGTCAGACCTCGAATTAACGAAGTCTCTAAAGCCCGCTAAGTCGCTTGAATACCGAAGTCGCTAATAAGTTCGTTATATGGAAAATTCGTTAAATAGAAAATCACCTTTTGAAATACTTAAACAACACAAAACAGGCTTTAAATTCATAATCACTAGACATAATTGATCCACCTTTATCTTGTAAACTAGTATCTACTATTTATTTTATAAATCTTAACCATAAAAGAAATCTGCATAAGAATAGAGCAAGACATTATCCAATACATGCTACATACATTTTCAATTAAAAAAAGCTAAATTCTTGTAGAAAATCATAGCTGCATTTGTTATAAAAGTAGTTTTAAACATACATTAAAACATGCGTTCTTAAATGTAACTACTGCTGATAAAATTCGTCAATTTTGTCTGAGTTTTTCGTTTGAAATGAAAACAAAAAAGGAAAGAGATTTTACTGCTTTCTCTAAAAATTTAAGTG